CAAGACGCCCCAGGAGGCCTCAAAGCGGCCCCACGAGAGACCCCCAAGAGAGCAACATAGTAGTTTGTGTTAAGGTTTTTGTCAGTTTTTCGCGTTCTCGCTTTGTCGGCTTCCCGACGCCTCAAGGCAGCCCACGAGGTCCGAAAGATCGTCCCAAGACGGCCTCAGAGCCTCCTACGAAGAGACCGCCCAGACGGCCCAAGACAGACTAAGATGCTCCCCAGACGGCCGCGGAAGCCTCCGAGACTCCAAGACAGGCCGAGAAGGCCCCAGGAACGCCCCAAGAGAGGCCCCCGAGGGGGAGCCGACATCGATTTTTCGAGCTCCCCGTCCCAAGAAGCCCCCACATCACTCCCAGGAAGCTCCAGGAGGTCCCGTGAAGCCCGAAAAAAGGCCCCTGGGACGATCCCAGAGGTTCCCGAGAGGGCCTCCAGATTGCCCAAGAAGCCCTCAGGATGGCCGCAGACGCCCCGACAAAGCTTCACAACGTCAAACGGACAACACGGAACCCGACCCAATGCGCCCCGTAGGCATCATCTTCTTTGTTGTTCTCTTTCTCGCAAGTCACGCACGCCTGTCCGCCGGTGGCTCGCATGGTGGCGTGCTGACCTCACCTCGCACGGCCATCATGTTGCGAGTGGCTCGCATGGTGAGACCCCCAGGTTGTTGATGGTTTTCCGCGTTCTCGCTTTGCGGGCTTCCGTACGCCCCAAGGCAGCCCACGAGTTCCCAAAGATCGTCCCAAGATGGCCTCAAAGCCCCCGAAGAGACCGTCCAGACGGCCCAAGACAGCCCAAGTGGCTCCCCAGACGGCCGAGGAATCCTCCAAGACAGCCTGAGAGGTCTCCTCGAACGCCCCAAGGGAGGCCCCCAAGGGGGAGCCGACACCGACTTTTCGAGCTCCCCGCCCAAAGAGGGCCCCCAGGAGACTCCAAGAGGCGCCCAAGATGCCCCAAGAAGCCCCCAAGGCCCCGAGAAGCCCGAACAAGACCCCTGGGACGATCCCAGAGGTCTCTACGATGGCCTCCAGATTGCCCAGGGAGCCCCCAGGATGGCCGCAGACGCCCCGACAAAGCTTCACAACGTCAAACGGACAGCACGGAAACCGACCCAATGCGCCCCGTAGGCATCATCTTCTCTGCTGTCCTCTTTCTCGCAAGTCGCGCGCGCCTGTCCGCCAGTGGCTCGCATGGTGGCGTGCTGACCCCACCTCGCACGGCCATCATGTTGCGAGTGGCTCGCACGGTCGCGTGGTGCCGTGCCGAGCGCCCTTCGTGGCTCGCACGGCAGCGTGCTCAGTGCACCCACGATTTCCTCCTCGCAGCACCTTCGAGCGCACGGCCATGAGGCCCCCCAGGAAGGTCTCAGAGGCGCCCAAGAGGCCTCGAGATTTTCCAAGCCTTCCAGCTCCCCGCCAGGTGCTGAAGCGGCCAAGCAACAAACCGACCGAACGTGCCACACCACGGCCTGGTTAGATCTGGACCAGTCCCAATGCCGCATGCGTTCGCCCCCGCCACCTTCACACGCACGGCCTCATTTGGCCGCTGGCTCACATGGTGGCGTGCTGAGCTCGCCTGTGACGAGCTTGTCAACAGACACCGGGAGCGACGAACAGCCCCGACGAGCCAGTGGCTCGCACGGTGGCGTGCTGAGCTCACATCGTGGCGCGCACGGTGACGTGCTGAGTTCACCCCCGAACCGGCGTTTGTTTCCCACCACCTTCACACGCACTGCCTCCAGCAAGGCCAGGGGCTCGCACGGTGCCGCGCTGAACTCACACCCTGCTTCGCACGGTAATGCGCTGAGCCTGCCCCACAGGCGCCTTGTTCCTTCGCGGTAGCAGCCCCAGTCGGGGAGCTTTGCGGCGTCCCGTCAGGCGCCCCCCCGTGACGGCCGGTGAAGCCGCAACCGCGGTAAGGACAACGCGTTTTCGACCCCACCGCGATTGTTTGCGCGGAGCCCCGCATTTTCGACCCCGCCGGTCGCCGCTGATGCACAACGAGGACCACTTCCCACTTCCCCCCCGCCAAGATGCCCTGGCAATCACAATCCCACTCTGGCCACATTGCGGTGACCCCCGGGCCCGATCAACGCCCCGTCTCACATCAAGCGCTCTCCTACTTCTCACCGGCGTCCGCAAACCCAAAGTGGCACGCATCATTGACGGCTTCGCCATCATCAACACTTTCCAGGATGCGACAGACAACGTCGCGGGTGACAGCTGGTCTGGTTCTACTATCTACTACTTCACCCGTGTCTAAGCTCCCACTGTTTTCCATTCGACGGAAGCACATCGCGCTAGCCCACATCACACACGCATCGACAATAACGCCAAGGAGGTCATACTCTCGGAAGTGTGGCCCGTCCCAGCCGCCGCTTCCTTCCCAGATTGACAAATGGAATTGAAATCCGCCAACGTGGGTCTCTCACATCCGTCGTTCGCCTTCAAACACAAACAGGACCCTGCCTCTTTCGAGCACGCGTGCGAGGGTTTTTTCTG